TTTTTTTTTTTTCCCCCCCCCCCCCCCCACTTTTGGGGCCCCCTTTCCAGGCGAGCGTCGGAGGCTCGGGCGGCGCTCCCCCGGCGAAGGTTGCGAGGCGGCTGCCGTCGGCGGGAGGGGACCCCTCGCCGTTAGCGCCAGCGCGGCGCCCTAGGGAGCTCCTCGGAGCGGTCTCGGACCCCCCGCAGGCGATGACTCGTCGGACAGCGCCGCGCCGCGCATTGTCGACGCGTTTGACGTGACGGCGGCCGCAGCATCCCCCGCCCACCCGCTTTTCCCCTCCTCCCGGCCCACCCGCCTTTCCCCTCCTCCTCAACCAGCCCCGGGTCCACCCTCCCCCGCCCCCTTTGGTGGATTCTCCCCCCCCCCCCCCCTCCTCACCCCGAGGCACCCCCCTCGACGCAGGCGGCGCCGTCTGGGCCGAACGGGGCCGCAGACCCGTCTGTGGTAGGGGTGGTGCGGACAGCAACGAGCGGCCCGCTCGCGCTGCAGCAGAACTTGGAGGCGAGAGAGAGAGAGAGAGAGCGACGAGACGGAAGACTGGATGGCAGACGCGTCCCCGCCACGCCGCTCTCGAGTACACCGCGCTCGGCCGTGTCCGAGCCGCGCTCGGCCGCTGCACTCTCACGAGTCTCACGAGTCTCACGAGTCTCACGAGTCTCACGAGTCTCACGAGTCTCACGAGTCTCACGAGTCTCACGAGTCTCACGAGTCTCACGAGTCTCACGAGTCCCCAGACAGTGACGAGTCGCCTTGTCGAGGCTCTGCTTGTCGCACACACGTGACCGCTCCTCTTCCCCGCCCCTCTCCTCTCCACCGCTCGTCTCCACCTCGCAGGTTCAAGAGGGCACGCTTCGCGCGCAGATGGAGCTGCAGAGGCGCGCGCCGCTCCCCGGCCTCGCGGCATGGCAGGGCCGCAGGGCTTGAGAGAGGTGTGCGGCATGGTAGGCAATTGTCGCAGCAGCTGCAGGCGCAGCAGCGGCTGCAGTCAGAGATGGAGGCGATGATGCAAGGGCGTTCGGGCGACGAGGACGACGACGCGGCCTCCGTCAAGATGGCGCCGCCGCAAGAGGGGCGAGGAGCGGGCGACGTAGCTGTGCCTCACCTGGACATGCCGTGTGGCGGGGTAGGCGGCGCTGCTGCGGATGAAGCAAAAGCTGCAGAGCGACCGCAAGGGGGGGGAATCCAGCCCCCCCAGGCCCCCTTCCCCCCCCCCCCCCCTCTTTAACTTCTCCCATCGCACCCCGCTTGCAGGCCTAGGCCACGGGCCCTTCTGCAATCCCCCCCCCCCCCCTCCCCTCCCCTCCCGGCCACCTCCGCAGGGCCACCTCCGCATGCAACATGACCTCCTCACCCAGCTCAACCAGCTCGTGCTCCCTCTCGGCGCCGCCGCCCCCCCCACACACACACACACACACTCGCTCGCTCACTCGCTCACTCACTCACACACACACACACCACCTCCACCACCACCACCACCACCACCCGCTCAAGGGAGGCTGCTGCGAGGGGCGGCGCCACACACGCACACGACACGTCCGCGACGTGCTGCAGGCAAGTCGGCCGAGTCGTCGTCGGATGACGGCAACGCGGCGGACGCGGAGAGCAGTGCGGGGGCAAAGGAGTGGGCAGGCATCGACGCGCACGGACCGGACCTAGCACATGCACATACACATGCACATGCACATGCACATGTTGCGTGTGACGCGGGGACTCCCGCCTGCCTCCCTCGGGGTGTGGAGTTCGGGGGATGGGCCAGCTGCTGCCCCACGCGTGTGGAGATGGTGTGCCCCCCTTCCCTCACCGCAGGCGTCGACGCGGACTCGGAGGCGGAGACTCCGAGAGCCGCCGCTGCGGCTGCCGTCGCCGCCGCCGCTTACGCCGTTTGCGCCGCGGCCGCCCCTTCGACATCTTTGCCGGTGGCTCTACCCGCGTCGGTCAAGATGGAGTGACGGAGGGCAGCTCTAGGGGGCTGCTCCTGGGCAGCATGCGCGCGAGAGGGCTCGTGGGAGCAGGGCTGGGGGGGGTTGCATGCATGCCGATTTGCGGCCCGGTAGTCGGGCAAGGGGTCAGTGTCTAGTGAGCACAAACGTGTGCATGAGCAGCTCCTGCGTGCATGCGCTCACGCAGCGTGGCCTTTACACACGCGCAAAAGTTAGTTAGTACCCAACATGCCGCGCCTCCTCTTGGTTGTTGTGATAAGTGTCGTGATGGCCATATAATGTCGTTTGAGCTGCCACGCGGCGGGGCCGGGGGGCGGGGCTTTTTGTTTTTAACCCCTTTTTAAACGCACTCGCACCACTCTTCCCACACAGGTGGGGGCTCTCACAGCTCAGAGGTCAGTGAGCAGACCTCGCGGGAGCAGACTGTGAAGGCGCGGTTCACGGGGCCGACTACCGCCTACCGGCCCCGTACCGGGCAGGACCAGGGGAGTGCTGGCTTCGTTTTGTATTTTGAGTCGGGGCGTTACAGAACTCAGAACACAGAAGAGAAACACCGTGGCGGCCTGGTCACCCCCCCAAGAGCGGCCGCACACTGCTCGCTACCCCCCCTGCACATCTAAAGCCATCCCTGCTGCTAGGGGGGGGGGGGCTTGACCCCCCCAGCAGCAGAGCGCACGGACCCAGCTCTCCCGCCTCTTCGCCGCCGCCCCACCCTCCACCCTCGGCTCGTGTTTGAGCGGTACGCTCGAGGCGGTTGTGTTCACCGCGTCTTCGAGCCCAATACACCTTCGCCGGTGAGACCACTGATTTTGGTGCCGACCATAAATTCTCGCCACTGGAACGCATGCTACTTACCCGAGCTGCTGTCTGTACAGAGATGCCAGCACCCCCCACAGGCAGAGCGCTCCTGCTGGGGGGGGGGTCCGGACCCCCCCAGCAGCAGAGCGCTGCTGCTGGGGGGGGGGGCGGCCATGGCTTTAGATGTGCAGGGGGGGTAGCGAGCAGTGTGCGGCCGCTCCAACGACGCCCTGGCTGCCGAGGACGTGTTTTCGACGCCATCGTCAACGAGAACGACGATGTCAAGACCCGTCCGTGCCACACTTAGTGTGCCACACACCACAAGAGGCAAGAGCCCGACGCGCGCCCCCACGCGACGAAGGCCAGTGGCCCGCGCTCCGAGCCTCTGACTCCACTGTTCTCAGATAAGGAGATAAATACATACTAACACTTAGATCTTAGTTCGACCTCAGCCGCCACCACCGCACCAGCCGCCACCTTTCGTTTCCCTAACCAGCATGCCCCAACCAGGCTGGGGCGTGGGGGGGCGGGGCGGCGCGGGGCGAGCCCGCCGGGGCCAGCGCGCACGCCGCACGCGCGCTCGCGCGTCGCGGAGTCCCGCGGCGGCGCACAGTCTTGATGCGCAATATTCCAAGTATAATAAAAGAGAGAGTAGCTCGTTTCTCCGCGTTGTTAGATGTTACATCGCATTTAGCACCTCGCTTTTATTGTTTGCTTTCATTCGCAATTCGCAGTCAGTCAGAATCGCTTGCGGTCCGAACACCGTAGTGTACCGTCGGATAGAGGTACCGCACGTATAGACAGGTACTGAGACCTCAGACCGCTGAGCCGAGTGAGAGTGACCGTTAGTACAGGGCCGCGTACTCGTCGTCACGTAGGGCGGCGGCTCTCATAGCCGTCTTTCGCGCTCACTCTCCGTCCTCACCTCGCTCCCTCTCCAGCTCCACCATCGAGCCGTTGCGGGAGACGAACCTCCTCTCCTCCTCGCCCGCCCGCTGCGCGACCGCTTGGTCAAAGGAGCGCTGTCGAGCCACGGCGCGCATCTCCTTGAGGTCGTCGGGCGCGAGCTCGTGCTGGGCCATGCGCACCAAACGCGCTGTCGAGAGCTCGCCTGCGGAGGAGTGGAATGAGAGGCGTGGGCAGGCGGAGCGGGCGGTGGCACCTCGGAAGAGTGTTGGTGTGCCTCGGAAGTGTCTCGGAAGTGTCTCGGCGCACCCGAGAGGAGCTTGGAGAGGAGACTCGGGTTTCGGCCGATGTTCGCGCAGAGGAGGCGCAGCTGCTTGCCGTACACGCTTCCCTGCGAGACGCAGGCGGCTCTGGCGAGGGAGAGCGAAGAGGCTGGGGGAAAGAGCTGGGACAAGAGCTGTTCAGGCAGCGAGGGGGTGCGGGGGGGAGAGGGGGAGAGCGCGCGCGAGAAGGGAAGGCGGCCGCGCGCCTCCTCGTGCTCCTCGTGCAGAGCTGCCTCGACCGCCGCCGAGACGGCTGGCACCACCCCCGCCCACGGCCCGGCCAGCGCCTCCTGCTCGCCGGACCCGAGCGAGGCGGAGGCGGTGCGGAGAGCCCGCTCCAAAAGGGATCGCGAGTGCCCTCGCCGCCCACCCGCCGCACGGGGAGCAGCCTCCCCTCCCGCCCCCGCCCCCTCCTCCTCCTCCTCCGCCTCCTCCGCCCCCTCCGCCCCCTCCTCCGTGCTGCTACTGCTATCGCTGCTGCGGCCGGGCGCCGGTCGCTTTCGGCTTGCCTCGGGCTTGCCACCTACCCGCGCCTCCGCCTCCGCCCCGTCCGAGGCCTGCCGCCGCTTCTGCTCTGCCAACCTGGCCAGCGCGGAGGCGGACGCGGCGGCGCGAGAAGCCGCGGAGCCTCCTCCTCCACCGCCTCCTCCGTCACCACCGCTGCCGCCGCCGCCGCCGCCGCCGCCGCCGCCGCTGCCGCCGCCGCTGCCGCCGCCGCCGCCGCCGCCGCCGCCGCTGCCGCCGCCGCCTGCAGCATGCGCCGACTTGCTCGGCGCCGGGAGGCTCGCCTTGCGATCCAGCTCCTCCCACTTGCTCCGCTCGGGCCCACAGTCGCCCAGGTTGCGCCAGCGGGTGTCGCCCGACTCAAAGTGGACCTTGTGAAGAGCCCACTCCTCTCCGCCTCGCACGACCACGCGCACGTCCAGCACGCGGCCGCGGAACCATCCGGCCTGGACGTTCCTCACGCAGTGGCCGTGGTAGATGCTCACCTTGGCGCCCTTGCCCCGCAGCAGCGGGTCGCTCTTCCGCCGCTCCGCCGTCCTCCGCCCGTCCTCGCGCAAGACCTCCTCGTCGCACTGGCGCCGCTCGAGATCGTGCCACGACTGAGTGCCGTCCGACGTGAAGAAGAGGCTGTGGATCTTGCTGCCTCCGCGCGGGCCTGGCGTATCGTCGCCCTCCTCTGCGAAATCCCATCTCACATCCACCACCTCGCCCACGAACCTGCCGCTCGTGAAGGTGGCCGTGACGAGCGCCGTCTCCTTCACGAGCGGGTCGTTCGCCCTCAGATCCTTGCACTCGCGGCAGAGCCACTCCTCCGACTCCGTTGGTGGCCGCGCCATTCCGGCGCAGAAGGTGTGTGTGCCTCCCTCCGCACATCGTTCGCACAGCACGAACAGCCTCTCATCGCCGTCACTCTTTCCGCAGATCTCACACGCCACTTCGTCCGAATCCTCACCGGAGAGCTCGATCGGGTTCTCCGCGTCACTCATCCGCGCTGGCGCTGGCGGGGCAGGCGGGCAGGGCGACGCACGCGACGCACGCAATATACATCCCTCGATATACATCAATATACAAAAAGAATTCGTGCAACCTCGCTCTCACAGCTAAGAAAAAAATTACAAACCTCCCTCGCAGAAAAAGAATACGTCGGTGCGATTCGCAAGGTAATCCCGTCGTCAGCTGTCACGATATACCCGAAGGGAACCCCAGTGCCAACACCGACCGTGGAGGTACAAGTGCTCGAATCGAGAGTAGATCTGAGCAACGACATGACTTGGAGGCAATGATCGGAGTCGGAGTCAGAAATGTGGTCCTCGCGCGAGGAGAGCTCGATAAACTCGAGGGGCCAAAAGTGAAGGGGAGGACGCGTGGTGGCGCTGGCCATGAGATCTGAGGCCCGCCCAGGCGGCGAGGACGCCGTCGTGGGGCCGCCGGTGGTGGGCCTTATTGTAAAGGTAGTCGCCGAAGAAATCGACTGGCATGCCCCGCTCGAGCGCAGCCTTACTCAAGATAAGCGCCCATAGACACGAAGACACGTATCTGGGCTACCTGGACGCAGACGCGCATCCTCATGCGTGGGCACATATGCACATGAGCACTTACACGTCAGGGCGCGAGCCTTAGCTAAGATACGCGCCTACACGTGTCGGTGGTCATTTTTGACCCACTTTCCCCCCCTCGAGAACGGAGAGCAAAATATGTTCAGAAAGGTTGATCAGAAACAAGAATTTTACCAACAAACTCCCTCGCACGACACTAGGCACGGGACTGGCGCGCACTGGCACTAACACAGAAACTCAGGCGTCTTTGTTTGCAGTAAGCCCGTAAGTAACAAAGTAAGTCTGAGAGGCTTCACAGATTCTGAGCCACTGACCCGAGTCTCCAAGTGTCTGAGAGCTGGTCTGGGGCAAAATCTGAGGCAAAATCGAGGAAACCGGCCAAATACCGGGTATTTTCCAGGTAACCCGGGGGTTTCAGGTATACCGGCAAAACACCGGGTATTTTGGGCCCAAACCAGCCTCAGACTCGGCTCAGAGCCAAAACATTGACGATGAACCAGAAACGAACCACGACAAAAAGAATTACTTGTGCCAAGCGAACGCCCAGCTTTTGATCGACTCGCTTCTCGATGGCGACTCTCTTTTGGCAGTTGGTCCTGGCGGCCGCCGTCGGTGCAGTGCCGCCCATTTCGCCGCCAAAGTCGCCGCCGCCCTACCCACCCAACAAGGCGCCCACGCCGCCGCCGTCGCCGCCGCGGTCGCCGCCTCTGTTGCCGGCGCCGTCGCCGCCGCCGCCGCCGCCGCCGCCGCCCTCGCCGCCGTCGCCGCCGTCGCCTTCTCCGCCGCCGCCCTCTGCGCCGCCCTCGCCGCCCTCGCCTCCACATCCGCCTTCTCCGCCGCCGCCGCCTCCGCCGCCGCCCGTCGCGCCTCCTCCTCCTCCTCGTTCGCCGGCGCCGCCGTCGCCGCCTCACCCGGCCGTCCTCGTCTCCGCGG